TTTTTTGGTATGGGGATTGAATTTAGGACCTTGTGCTTTCGAGGCAGGCCGTGGCACCACTGAGCTAAATCCCTGGCCCCTTAAAAAACTTTTGAGACAGGGTCTCAAAATACTAGGCTTGAATTTGCAATCCTTCTCTCAGCCTTCCCGAGTGCTGGGATTATAGGGATGCACCACCATGCCTGGTTTTGCTTTGAACAGTCCTTAGGTCCTTGCCCTTTCTCAGACCAGGACTCTGAGAGGGGAAGAACTTGGCCAGAAGTCATAGTGAGCAGTTGCAGAGCAGGTTAGACCCTGCACAAAAAGTCCATTTAGCTCCGTGGTTCTGCTGACTGTCCAGCGAGCGCAAGGTCCTCAGTTCAATCCCCGGTCCAAAAAAAAAAAAATGTCCCTAGCCCACCCCTATGTTTGAGCCCCAACAACAGAAGAGGGGTGCTGGGTCAGATGGGAGGGGAGGGGGGCTGTGAGAAAAGGGGCCACAGGATTGTAAGGGACAAGCCTTGGGGTCTCCCTCACCCACTACAGGCAGATCCAAGCCCCACAAAGAGAATTAGCCAGAATTTCAGACCCAGACCAATAAACAAAAACAAAAACAAGTAAACAAATCCCCCTGCTGGCTCACTTCTTGCCAGAGTTGGGGGCAGCCAGAGAATAGGATGGCAGGGCCTGGGGACCAAGCCAGCTCCAGGATGTGGGCAGCAAGGGTTCTCTGGTGACTAAGCCTTCATAGCCCAACAGTGACTGCAACCTCCTGGCCACACAGCACCTCAGGCAGATAAAATATGACCGTTTCACTATCAGTTTCCGTCCTTCCCCACTTCTGTGTCTGCCCTGCCTTATTGAGTTTATGTGTGGCTGTCGGCCTGGAGCTCACACAGCTCATCAGGAATTGGCATCAGGGTAAGGCCAGGACTGGTACCTGGGTCACTTCTTACAGAAGCTCCCAAGTTCATCCAGGAGGGAAATCTCCTTTTGTGCTTTCCTTTTTTTTTGAGACATACAGTTCAGACTGGCCTTTAACTCACTATGTAGCTCAAGCTGGCCTCCAACTTGTGGCAGTCCTCTTGCTTCAGGCCCCTGAGTGCTGGGATTACACGTGTGCACCATTACCTACAGCCATGTGCTTTACATTTTGAATGATGTTGAAGCATGAATGCATTCAGGATTTACTAGAGGAACAGAAAATGCTTCCATAATCTATACTGATTGGGAATGGTGTTAATTTTATGTACAAGGACAATCATGGTGATAAGGACAACATGCAATAATGCACAACAGGGCAGGCCTTTGCCCCCCACCCCGACTCCATGTTTTTGCCATAAGATGTTTTGCTCAAGCAATGTAACTGTGCCGCAGGATGTTTCTAAGGTTTCATGAATGTTCTGTTAACTCCGCCCATCTGCTTCGGTGAGCATGCTTGCCCAGTAGGTTGGCCCACTCCCCTGCCCCCTAGATCTCTATATAAGGTTGCTTTAATTTCTGTTTGGGGGATCAGACTTTGGAGTATGAACCTGAGGCTGCTGGTGTTATAAAGTCTCCCTCTATCTCTCCAAGTGCCGCTCGACTTTTGGATAGCCATACAACTTGGCTGTAACACTTAAATTGTTGCACTTTGCTATAACAATAGAGAGGATCAACAAGATAAATAATAAATAAGGAAACAGATGGGCAACTACTATGATTTTAAGAAAGGCAGATGCTGCTGGGGATTTAGCTCAGTGGTTCTGCTGCCTGCCTCTCAAGCGAAAGGTTCCAAGTTCAATCCCTGGCACAAAAGAAAAAAAAAGGCAGTGATGCTGGGTGTGGTGGCACATGCCTGTAATCCCAGCACTCAGGAGGCTGAGGCAGGAGGATCCACGAGTTTGAGGCTAGCCTGGGCTACACAGTGAGTTCAAGGCCAGCCTGAACTACAGAGCAAGACCCTGTTTCAAAAAACAAACAAGCAATGATGAGTTGAGCATGGTGGTACACACACTTGTAATACCAGTACCCCAGGATGTTGAGGCAGGAGGACCACAAGTTCAAGTTCTTCCTGGAAAATGTAGTGAGATCTTGTCTGAAAAAAAATAAAAAGTATAAAAAAGGTGAGCATAGGCTGGGGATTTAGCTCAGTGGTTCTGCCACTGCCTTGCAAGTACAAGGTCCTGAGTTCAATCCCCAGTACAAAAAAAAAAAAAAAAAAAAAGGTGAGGATACAGCTCAGTGTGAAGGCCCTGGGTTAATTCCCCAGTATTTAAAGACTATTTTTTTTCTTTCATTATGCTGAGTGTGGTGGTGCATGCGTGAGGGTAAAGGAAGAGGATCGCCATGAGGTCAAGGCTAGCCTGAACTACATAGCAAGACCATATCTTAACAACAAACAAAACAAAAGCCCTAAATCACTAATTTTGGAGGTCACACAGCCGAGCAATCTATTTTCAGTCCCCCATGAGCTTTGCCCTGCATGTCATGTTGAAATCACTGACCTTTCAGTTGGGCCCACACAACTGTCCAGTGGGGGACCTGCTGGCATTGGAAGGCCCTAAATGCCAGCATCAGATCACACTCACACCATCGATTTCTTTTTGTTTTTGTACCGGGGGTCAAATTCAGAACCTTGTGCTTGCCAGGCAGGTGCAGTGCTGCTGAGCTAAATCCCCAGCCCTGCCATTACTCTCTGAACAGAATGCCCACCCATCGCAGCTGCTGCTGACCACCCCCCTACACCTTTCCCTTCTCCTTCCGTTACCCTGCTACAGTCCCATCCACATCCCCAAACTGGTCCCCTGGGACGTAGTGTTGAGACTTGGCCTTCTGTCTCCACATTCCTGACCACATGAATCAGCTCTCTTTTGCAAAGCATCAGTTCAGTGATTGGCCTACCATGCATGCAGCAAGCAAAACAGACCTGGTTCACCAACAGCGAGAGTTCGATCACTTTCCAAGTGTATGTAATAATCTGAATGACCACACAGACAGAAAAATGGATTCCATCCATTCCTCATTTTGTAGGACTGTTTGCTAGACTAGCATTTATTTATTGAGACAGGGTCCACTGTGTAGTTCAAGCTGAACTTGAACTCACTATGTAGCCCAATCTGGCCTCTAACTCAGAGCAATCCTCCTGTCTCAGCCTTCCAAGTGCTGAGATTACAGGTGTGTGCCACCATGAAGGCGATACCATTGTACTTTTACAAGGTAAATGGGCTGTGCTGGCCTCCCAGGCCCATGTTTACCCCTAGGTGGATGGTTCCCTTTGGTCTGTTCTGAGGTCTTGAGGTTTGTCCAAGACCTCACCTGCAGTCTGGACTTTGGGCTTCCCGAACCTTATAGGTGCACTCAGAGTATAGTTCCTTTTCAATAGCTGACCTTTGAGACTCCAAGCTTGGGTGGTTGTTATCTATAACTAATGCTTAAGAAAGACAAAGCCTGTGTCACGCAGGCCTGTAATACCAGCATTTGGGAGGCTGAGGAGGCAGGATCGCCAGTGTGAGGCCAGCCTGAACTCCACACCGAGACCCTGTCTCAAAAAGCCAAAAAAAAGCCAAAACCAAACACACAAAAAATAAACAAAACAAAAAAGACAAGAAAAAAGGACAAAAAAATAATCAGGTCTCTTTTCTTTTCTTTTTTTTTTTTTTTGGTACTGGGGATCTTTGCTTTTCAAGTGGCCCGTACCTCCCCTGTCCCCGCCTGCTGTCTGACCAGTAAGCAGAGCTGGCTCCATGCCCCAGGGGACAAAAGCCTGGAACTAGGACGAGGGGACAGAGACCAGAGCTTCGGGCAGCAGGCCCCGGGGCCACCTGAGCTCTTCCCAGGCCCAGCGAGCTCCTGCTGGCCTCGGAGGTGCCCGAGGTTCCGGCTTTAACCTCAGCTCTCACCCAGGGGGCGCCATCTTGGTCCCTTTAAAGCAGGGACGGACGCACGGACGCCAGCGCCCCGCCCGGCGGGCGCGCACGAACCACGCCCAGGGCCGCCCAGCACCCGCCTCGCGCCTCGCGCCCCTGCCCCTTCAACCTCCAGACCCCTTCCCATCACTCCGCGGGGTGACGCGGCCGCGGGCGGCGACGGCCACTGTCTCGGCGAGCAGCGGAGGGGCAGCAGTGTAGCCACTATGGGGGCCCAGCTGAGCACGGTAGGCGAGGGCTTGGCCTGGGCCTGGTGGGGCGCCGGCACCCGCACCCGGAGCCGAGGGGCTGGTCCCGGGAGGCCGGGCCTCTGCAGCCGCCGCGCCCCCTCCGCCGCGTCCCTCCCCGGCCGCGCCCCTGTCCCCCGCTCCCCGCTTCCCCACTTCCGGAGCGGACTCAGGGCGTGCGGGGGCCAGCGCCGGGGCGCGCGCGAGCGACCGTGTGAGAGGGCCCGAGTGTGTGCGGTGTACCCGTGTGGCCATGAGTAGGAAAGTTGGAGTGTGACTAAGCACGCGTGCATGCGAAGTGCTGCGCGACACCCGCGTGTGCAGGCGAGCAATTGTGCGAGTGTGAAGCATGAAGCATGACTCCGTGGGCGCAAGGGAATGGAAGTGTGCAGCCTGAATGCACGAGTGTGAATGCGAGTGCCAGCACGTGTGTGAATGTGAGAGTGCGCACAGGTGTGAGATAAATGTGAATGAGTGGGCGTGGGCAGCATGAAGGCATGAGTGTGAGAATGAGAGTGTACATGTGCGTCTGAGTGTGGATGTGTGCGAGCTGTGTGCATGTGAGAATGAGTGAAGGTGGCTATGTGATGAGTGTGAATGTATGTGCATGAGTGAGAATGAGTGAACGTGCAAGGGCGAATGAGTGTGAACGCTAGTGTGAGTGAGCAGTGTGGGGGGGGGCGAGTGTGCTTGCCGCGGGCGGCCACCTGCAGGCTCCGGCCCTCCTGTCACCCTGTCACCAGCCCAGGCCCGTCCCCTCAGCAGATGGTGTGGTGTGGGCCCCTTTGGGACCTGGCTGCCAGCCGAGAGTCCTGAGGGAAGCAGCCGGGCTGCGGGCTCAGAGTCCACTCTCCAGAAGCAACCTGATTGGTGCAGGGCCTGCCAGCCTCCCTTGCTTTATTACTATTATTTTTTGAGACCACTCTTGCTGTGTTGCTCAGGCTGGTCTGAAACTCCTGGGCGAACTGACCGTCCTGCCTCAGCCTCCCAGCGCTTCCTCTGGAGGATGTCTCCAGGTCACCCCTGGCCAGAGCTTCCCCTCCCACCCCACGCACGAACCCTGGCTGTGCTGGGCTCCCGAGCGCCGGAAGGCTGGCACCAGGAGGATGCCCCTTGGGCCTCAGGGCTCTGAGGCTCCCCCTTGGGGAGGCAGGTGCCAGGCCTAGGCCTCTGGGCCTGGAAAGTGTGGCCCAGCCCAGGCTCCCTGAAGGGTGGGACTCAGACCAAGGGGCAGTGAGCTGTGGGCATACGCCAGGCCGGCCCCGCAGCGTGACAGCCTGGCAGGTCTCAGAGGCCGCACAGGTTATTGTGCTCTTTCATCAA